TATTTAGAAGGTAAAATATTGAAAAAATTCAACTGTAAGGGGAAGTCTAGATAAAGATTACACGTGTGAAGACGCTGTTAGCTGAAAATGGTGCAAAATTCAGCTCCATGAACATAACTGTGGAGCTGTATGGGGTATGAATTTAGAAAATGAAGGTTTATAAAGTTCTAGAAGAAGAGAATAAGATAATATTACAGTAGTTGCCATTCAAAATTTCCCCACTTTCCTTGATGGGCCCTTGGCTGGTTCTTGGCTAGTCCTCTGCAATTACTTTTTAAACATCAATATTTGTACTAAAATATTCTTTCTGTCATGATTTGTGGACATTAAGATCTAAAGAGAAGCATCACCTCCTGGTCAGACTACTTAATGTTGACTGATAGAAACAGATCACCACAGGGGATGTGTCAATTTATCTCCAGGTAACCCTTCCCTTATAGGACAAAACATTGAGGATGAGAGGATCTTTTTTTTTAATATGCAAAAAAAAAAATTTCATTCCAGCTTCTCAGACTTTATTCAGACTTTTAAATCCCTATTTCTGCTTTCATTTTGACTTCTGTGCTGACAAATGAGACAATTCTAATTCACAGACACCAGACAGCACAAATCATTCTGTGGCTAACATAAAGACAGGAGGAAACAGACTCAAAACAAATCAATACATAAATCCTTCTTTTTCTTGCTGTGCAAACTGGCTGATATGTCATATCAGATTTTTCCCAATACCAGCTCAACTTTGAGGTATAAGTCATATACTGATCTGCTATCCAGGGAAACAGTCATCAAATTACAAAATAACTGATACTTAGATAATTTAGGGGACAGGAATACTGTGTGTGTGATACTTCCCGAGACAGAGTGTTAGAGCTGCATTTTTAGAAAAGGCAATTTCTTTCAACTACTGAAGGGGAAGACTCAGGGGAACTGCAACCTGACTTTGTCTTTGAAATGCTCCAACTATGTTCTCCCAAGGGGCACCATCTCCTCCACAAACGCTACCTTCAGAGCTCCAAAGTTCCAGGGGATTGCTAACCCGTACCCTCAAGTGATATCACAGAACGGGCCCTGGAGAACAAACTGACAACCTGATGAGGGAGTATGACAGTTCAGAAGAAAATATATGAAAAAAAAAAAAAAGGATTTCTCTTTACCTGTATGCCTCCTTGATTCATGGATTGTCTATTTTTGTCTCTTTTCGCACAAAGGCAATCCATAACATATGGTGAGACGAATGCACATTTTCGCCAGAACAGAAATGTATATAAAGCTTTAGATAAAGTTAAATGGAAGCACTTAAAAATAATATATTCTCCCTGACATAAAATGAAACAAAAGAATGATTGATGGTTCATGTAAGAAACACAACCACACATAATAAAAACACATCTTTTCACTCCCATCCCAACCTCAGTGTATTCAACCAGTAGATGAGCTGTAATTACAGGGCTTTCATTGTAAGGTTAGATTCACAGGCACAAACAGACATGCTTTTGTAGTTAATGCAAGATAGGTAACTCTAGCAGGAAATGTTTGCACTTGTGTCCATAGTCTTTTGCTTTTTCTGGGACAAGGCCTGGTAGCATCAGTGTTAGCAGAATTGCCCAAATATTCCTCTTTCCTTACACAACGTCTAACTCCTCCAGCATGATTTGGGCCATCATCTGGGCCTAAAACACCTCCTCTCCGATTTGGAGAGGAAAACCTTGCTTTTTGAAGTGAGAATCATTGACTTGGACGTCAAGATATTGATAAATACCCTTTGACTTTGCTCTTAGTTACAAACAATGTTGGGGTTGAGGCGTTACACAAGTAACAGTGTAATATACCCCGGTACAAACTAAATTTCTGTTTTATTATTTCAGTTATTAAGGTGGGTAACGCATAACAATCTGAACTGAAAAACCCACTGCCAACAGCTTAATAAAGGGGTGAAGAAGACATTTTTTTGGAGGGTCTTGTATTATATCAGGAAAAGACAGTTTTAAGACAGAGGAAGAAGACAGGTTTACAACAAAATATGAAGAGGATAGTTTTAAAAGCAACAGAAGAAGAATACAGTTTTACAAGCCCGGAAGAAGAGGAAGAAGAATGGTGGTGGTACAATCGATTCAACGTTTTCCAAGGGGCTATACTCCCATTATTTTAATTATGTCACTGAAATGGATAAGAGCACCACAGTAAAATGCACCATGTGTGCTGGTGGGCACATGAGCAAACTGTCTATGGCTAGAAATAAATATAATAGTAACCACAAGAAACACCAGAGAGCGTGCACAGCAACATTAAGCTTGAGGATTACGACCTCTTAAGCCCCTGTCACATCTTGACAATTTAGGCAGCGTATGCCTGAAAAATCTGAGAAAACAGCTGGCATACGCTGGATAAGTTATGGGTCAGTTTCCCAGGCGACTGCTGAACATGTTTCTAACTTACAGCTATTGCACAATGGTGTATTTGTGGCGTTTTGGTATAAAAGGTGATTCAGAGGAGGAAAAATTCAGTTCTGCTCCAGACTTCATCCCCATCATTGGATGACTGCGAAGGTGAGTGTGATGGATCCTACCTGCATTCAGGCCCACGACCAACGAACTTCCTAGCAGACATGATGCTGAATCTGCAGCGACTGCAAACCCTCTTCCTTTCTTTTTCTATTTATTTATTTATTCTTTTTCTTTTGGGATGGTGCGGTAAACAGCAGTTAGGTTAATACTGCAATCTAAGAAAATCTTTTTATGCAGGCCAGGCGCCTTAAGGCACATTGCTGCCCCCCTCAGGACACTGGCTTTTGACATTTCATGGGCATTACGCTGCCATGAGTTATGCATAAGTTAGGCTGTCATTGGACATAAGTTTTGGACTTATTATGAATACTCTATGTATACTCCCAAAATTAAAAGAATACATGGAAAGTTGAGCATATGCTAGCATTTTAGAAGATTCTGGAATGTCTGGCATACACTTAGCTTTACCAGCAATAAGTCTGAAGAATGTGTGGTTAGCAAGTCTAAAAAAAAAAATTTAATTTTTCCAGAACACAGGTGAGGATGTTTGATCCAAGAGAAGTGAGAATGCTGGTGGATGAGTATGTCGTGAAGGATATGCTACCTATTTCTACAGCTGAGTAGCCAGCGTTTCAAAAGCTTGTCAAGAGCTTAAAAAAGATATTTCTTCAGAGTGAAAAGATTGTCTATCAAATATAGATTGCTCTATCAAATCTTTTCTTCTTCCCTATCTCAAAACCTTAGTATTTGCTCTCGATTCTGGAGTATTCTCTCCATGTGAAAATGTCGTCATAGGTGGGCCTGTGTTCCTATTGGTCAATCTCAACATAACTGACATCTGAGTGGTGATATTAGGTGGGTTCGAGATGAGCAGCGCCTCACCTGGAATGTGGACAAGTTCTTACGGCTGTACTGATAGCTAAAAGTTTGTTGCAAAGCTGGACAGAGCACCTGAGATGACTGATGGAGATAACTGGGGGCAATTTACTAATGGAAAATACACACTAAAATACTTATTTAAACAAGTAAAGCCTCATTCAGATCAAAATGTCTCTTCTAAGTGGGAAATATCAATGGCATCAGAAGAAATAACAAACAACAATAATAAAATCATATAAAATAGTATAAAATAAAGAAAATAATAATAAAATGGTTAAATGACCAGAAACCAGGAAACAGATCAATCACAGTTACAGAAAGTTATGTTGGCACTTCCTTCAATTCCCCAACAGTCACCAATGTAGTTTGAAGGATTTTTTTCGAAGGCTGATATCGTGATTCTAAAATCAATGGCTAGAGTGGTTTAAAAGAAAGTTACAAATTAGATGGAATTATAGTTTGTTAACCTTTTAAACTTGAAACGTTCTATTCCCGTGCATAAAGTACTATAAACCATTCATTCAGAACTAAAATTATCAGTGCTCTGGTGCAAAATAAACATACTATTAGTGCAGGGCTTTGATAACAGTTGAAATAAATCCTGTTACAAATCTTCACATTTTGTCAAATTACAACAAACTTGTGTCAAGGAACTCTTTTTATCTTTTTTTTTCTTGAAAAAATAAAAGACAAATGTGATATAGATTTGTCAATGCCACCCTGAGCTAACATTTTGTATATCATGCTGGAATTATAATTGCAAGTCATTTAGGGCATGTCTCTACTTTGCAAAATAGCTCAGATTCAGCCTTAATAACAGTTTCAATGAAAGGCCCCTTGCATATTTTTTAATACATTCTTAATTGGATGAATATCTAGATTTTGACTGTACTTTAAATACATGAACATAGTTTGTTCCAAATATCCATTTTATCCTTAACTGTGATTCTATTGCCGACCTGCTGGGAGATAAAGTGCTGATCCAGCCACAGTCTCTGGTCTTTTGCAGCTGCTTTCCTCAATATGTCCCTTCTTTTAGCTTGAATGTTTTTCATATCAATTTTGATTAGCTTATCAATTTCTGCAGGAGAATGCATCCTCACAATTTGATAGTGCCACAATTATATTTACAGTGTGAATGGTGTGTTAATTAACACAACATGCTTTGCATATAAGCCAAAAAGCTTAGTTGTCCCATTAATAGATTCTGTCACCAGGGTTTTGCAACTGCGCAAAACATAACATATTTATGAGGATAGAATTTTACACACAATAATTAGCTCACATTTGAAGACAAATGATTGTATTTCATTCTATTTAGGGATATTAGAGTAAAACTGAAAACACTAAAAAACACTCACAATTTGTAGATTCCTATTTATGATACATTTTTAAAACCATATTTTATAAAGATCCAACTTACAATATATGTATTACTTTGTGTCAGTTGATAACATAAAATTGCACCATAGCTTAGTTTGTTGTTGTATAGTAACAAAATGTGAAAAACCTGATTGGGTGGTAATTCTTAGGGTCCACTTTAACACACCTTGGTGGTTTTTACTGCTGCATTTTCTGACAGATAAAAATCCAAGACTTGAATATGTTTAGACTCACCTTCTTTTGTCATCAATGTGTCACAAGATCCTAAACTGATGAGCAGCAGATTCAAGCAACAGCAGAGAAGCCACATGGTTGAATCCCTCTGAAAAGAGCCCCACACCTCTCCTTCCTTCCCACTGCCTCTGCTTCCAGCCGACTGGGGAACATAAGAAAAAAAGTCAAAGTCAACGATGTTACATTTTTCTTTTTCTGTCAGTTCACCACCAAGTCTGCTCATTCCACCGACAGCTGTGCATTATGCCAGACTCTTAAGTACACGTTGATGTATATTTATGAGTCAGTCACAGTTGATGTGTTAATGATGTGGTATGTTGCAGGCTTTGTTAGTGGCATATGAATTAACCAGAATGGCCCTCATTAAGAAGTGTAACTCTGCAAAAGTCTGATCATAGTCATTATCCTGTCCATCTGGTTGCCCTTTGAATGAAGAGCACACGAATGCATGTGCATGTAAATATAGTGCTCCAAAAAGCTATCTGTGACCTCACAGATTCTTTAATTCTTCCTTTTTTTTCCCAGATCAAACTTCAATGTTTCATTCTACACTATTAAATTGTGACATCACAACAATAAATCCAAGTTAACACTAAATATGTGTTAAAAATATTATGATTTCATTTATAAAGGAAAGCAATACCCAGTTTCTCCCAGTCATGTGTAAAATAAGCAATTTCTCCCTTGTCAAGTCAAAATTGATTATGAAAGCTTGCTAATCTCTTCAAAAAATATTAACTTAAAAAATTATGTGGTCTTTGTAGTGCCACATATGTAGAATCAAGACACAACCTTTCAGGCCATATGGATTAAATAAAGAGGCATCTTAAAAGTTCACTAAGATGCCGGAAACAATGTCATTGACATTTATCCATCTTGAAAGGGAGACAGAGCCATTTTGAAGGCTTTGCGACTCCAGCAACACACAGTGAGAGAAATAGTCTGCGAGTGTGGAAAAACATTGAATAGAGGTGAACCTTTCAGAACCTGAAAGAGAGGTCTATTTTTATTATTATTTTTAAAAGGGCAACAATGACTCAACTAGGAGATCAGAGAAACCCCTAGAGCTACATGTAAAGCTATTCAGGGGTCTTTTATCTGGGTTAGGGTCAGTTTTCAACACCCACTTCTCAGAAATAGACTGAGAAAAAATGGCATCTATGGATACGTTTCAAGATAAAATCTACCGCTGAACGAGAAGATGAAAAAAGGTCGACTTCACATTTAGCAAAATACATTCCAATGATCCCCAAGATGTTTGGAAAGCTATTCTGTAGACTCTGAACACAGAAAGGGATTTTTCCTTGAAGATCTGCACATGCTTATCTCTTCTGTAAAACTTAAAATACATTCCATAAAAGAACAACATTACACTGACAGTTAAACCTTGTGGTACTCTGATTATCTAATGTCTTGAGATTAAAGGACAGCAGAAAAACTGAAGTAAACATAGTTAAATAAAATCAAAATGGTGGGTCTGAAGTCAAACAGACAATTGGGCCAAAACACACAAACACATCTGGAGACTGTTCCATTTGAGTCAGAGTTATGTTGTACCAGATGCTTCCACGTAGACATACAACAAGCACACATATGCAAATATGCAGACTTAAAAGCATGCCACGTGTAAATAACAGCTATATTTTATCTCTGTGATCCTCCCCACTCACAGGCCAGCTTCTCTGTCTTAAACAAGCTCAGGAAGGCATGCACATAAGCACGCCTATGCTGACTTGCATAAACAGATCCCAGGCGACCTGATCTTGACCTCAGCATGTGTAAGGACCCCGAACTTCACTTTGTTTAGTTGAGCAAAGGGTACTATAAAGGAAACCACACAGGCAGATAGTGTCCTTGCAAAGCACAAACCTCAATAAACTCCCTCAAGGGGATACACAATGTGCTCTCTAGCAAGGCTGTGAATGCTACCTAGTGTGACCTATCTGCGTTCACTCTGAAATATGGAGGATGCCTTGACACGCCATCACTCAGTATTTGTGTGGGTCTGGGCACTGACAGCGCGTCCTTTCTCTGTTTCTCACGTCTGTTTTGTCAAGATCTTTTGCAAGAGCCTGTATAATCATGTTATATCTGTTTATCTGGGAGTTCTTTCTGCTGACAACTTGGACACTGTTTTGGCGAAAGTAGCTTCAAGCAATAAAAAATAGGAAATAGCGACGAGACACTTTGAAATCAAGTTTCTTCTTGCACCTGGATGAGTGGACACTAAATCAAAAGCCGCAGACAGCTGTGTTCTGAGGAATCTGGAGTTTCAGCTATTATTACAGGCTTCATGCAGGCTGATCACAATAATAACAAGATTCACAGAAAGAGCATAATTCATAACGCATCCAGTCTTTGGAGCCCACATATGCAGGAAAAGATTTCTATTATTATCTGGCCTGAATCCAATACAGTTTAATAGACTTCCTAATATGTTTTGCCAGGGGTACATCTCCCTAACACGCAAACATATAACACACACACACTCTTTGGTAGCTTTTGCATATAAAGCCAAAATGGATTTAGGCTGCTAGGCTTGCCCTAAGGTCTGGCTGTGAGCCTAGTAAACAGGTGTCGAGAGAGTGATGGAAGCCATTGTGAACTCAGCTAATGGAGGAAGAAAAGTAATGACAGATTTTCCTCAGCCCTAAAAAACTTCAAAACAAGTTCTTGAGGATATAAAAGATGACCAAGCTCCATGATTGATGTTTACAGCATGGAACACATTATTCACAGAGAAGAAACAGAAATCATTTTTTCAAAACATGTTGCTCTAGAGTTTTCTTCTTTTTAAGATTAAAATGACAAGTTGTGTCACAGTTTATTCTCCCCCTTTTTTGCCGCCGTTTTGCGCCTCCTCTCAACCTTATCTTTTGGACAGAATTCAAAAAGAAGAATGTTATAAATTCACGCAGATACAAACATGGTAATGAGGTCCCGCAGTTGGAAGTTGTATCCAAAAACCTCTCATGTAATTAAATTATTACATTTGATTGAATGTAATAACATGCTAAATTTACTTTTGAGTTTTAAATATGTTATAATGCTAATATTTAATCTAAATTTTTCCTAAAGTGCTATTTTGCATTATTTACGCATGCATGAGTAATCCTCATAAATTCAACACTATGAGTAGAAGCCCCTTCCTGTCCTGGGAAAACAAGTTTCCATCTACCTTGACTATACCCGTTAAAGATGTCCACTGTCCCTAATCAGTGAGTGGTGATGTTAGGAAGAGCACCATGGTGTTTATCGCTTAATCTACACAGTAACAACAACTGTCTTTTCTTTCTTATTTAAAGCAGGCTTTTCAACAGCAAGATGTCTCACATCACAGTGAAGAAAAGGGTCTTTCTTCTTAGTCAGAAAATAGTGCCAGAAAACAACTAACATAGCATAAAAATGAAATACCCCGTAGTACAAAAGTTAAAATTAAATACAGAATTTCATCACATTAAAGGCACACTGCAGACTTTGTGACCAAAGAGTCGATGCATTTGAGTTATTTTCTAAATGAGTTTTCAGGCTAATATGCAGCACTTTACACTATCAGTGCTAAAAGCGGGGCTCCCCTCTTGAAAAACCGACTGTGTAAGTTGGCAGAAGATGCACCTTTATTGGCCACATCATGTGACCTGGAAGAACGTATCACTTTATGGCCACAGTCTCATATATAGTCATGCTTTTGCTACCCTTTTTTGACCTGCTCAACAACTGGTCTTGTATGAGGCAAGGAAAAAAAAAGTAAACCTTTTGAGGAGGCTAAAACGAGAAAATATAAAATGGATTATGTGCAAGGAAAAACGAGAGTCGATCATGGAAAGGAGTTTGTTTGTTGGTGCAGGCTGAAAGAAGAAGCGGGATGAAACATCAATTGTCCTTGGTTGTCTGGTAACTTAAGACTTTGCTCCTAGTATACAGTCATACATTTTTGTTATTATTTTCAATGTGTAGTAGAAGCAAAAAAAAGGTAGAAAAATCTTGCAGGCTACAAATAAAAAAAACTAGGGGCACTAGACATGAAAGTTACAAGTCTAGCGCCCCTAGTGGCCAACAATTTCATGGTGTGCCTTAAAAGAAGGCTTTATATTTAAGTCTTAATACGATGTTTTCTTAAGTTTTCAATAAACAAAGATATTTATATGTCGAACGTTATCTCACTTGATAACATTCAAAACTCACCTTGTTTTAACCCTTTTATTCATTTATACGTACATAATTTATGAAAAACTGAGCACACTGGCATGTAATGATGGGCTTACAGGTATAAGGATAACGCTTTAGAAACTGGAAAGATGCTGAGACTACAGGTTGCTTAAAGACCTGTATGCACTGTGAGAATAATACAACCCGTAAATCGCTAATGAGGCTAAAGTCAACATTTGAGCTTCTTAAATCTGTATTTTCAAGCTTTAAAATGATCTTAGTACACCAGGCAAAAATCTAAAACTCTAATATTGATCAAACTTTGACTTGATAATAACAATAGCTAGAGGTTTTTCAAAACAGCTTTTTGAGTTGACTTATTTGTAAAAACACAAAACAGCATTTTTTGCATCAACTCATGTTGAAATCCAGGGTATTTTAAGTAGTGAGTAGTTTTAAAAATGTGTTTATATATAAAGAATCTTCAAAATTGGTTTTGACTTAAGAAAGTCTCAATTTGTCCCAGTTTATGTCACCTGTCCATCACTGTCTATTTCAGTTCCAGACAAATAAATAAACTACCCCTTATCCATGGTCTAAATCCTTGCATATTAATTTGTCTGTCATTGTAGGTAAGAGTTCTCATTAATATGGGTGTAAGGGATAAAAAAAAATCCCATATATTGTAAGTGTTATTTTATCAAAATAGTTGCATTTGTTTTGTCTCTTCTGCCTCATTTTCTTTCTGATCCTGTTGAATCCTAACTAATATATTGAAATATTTTGACTGAATTGTAAGCCTTTATCAAAGCAACATTTCTGAAATTTCATCCTGCTTTTAGATACAGAGAACAAAAAATTGTCTCTCTGGTTAAAATGAATATACACATTGCCCTCATATACATTCAATAAAAGTAACATAAGAAAATAAATAATAAAAAAAGCTAAAATTGCAAATGCAAGAAACAGTAAAGGAGAACAATTACAGTCCTG